GGCATTAGTTTTGATATAAATTTTTATCTAGGCTATGAGTTCATAGCATTTTGAGCTAAGGGCAAGTGGTTGTGGTTAATAGTCACACGGTCTACAGTCTTTTTATATTTCTGCAGTCTATGCAGAAGAACTTTTTTTATATTTTTAACTCCTTTTTAAATCTTTTCCAACACCAAACTCAAGAAGTTAAAGGCATTAATCTTCTTTATCCTTATTTCATTTTTGTTGAATCTGTCTCAATTGCTTATATAAGTTTGTCTTTTGTTCTTTATTAAGCATCAGATTAAACCTGGAAAACTTTTTCCCTTGAATGTCAACCCATCTTCCTCCATTGGCATCATATACTCCTGTATATGGCAATAGCTCATCAGTAGACTCTGGAAACTTAATCATACTATCTTTCATTTCAGAAGAAACCAGACTATGTTCCTTAGAAAATAAACAGGTAATGTCAAAAGTGCAAGGGTTTCGATGCAGGAAGCACAGCACACATACACTTTGCAGGAATATTTTTTGAAGCTGTGTCACATCTTAAATGAGAGACACACAGACTGGAACTGTGTTAGCTTGCATAGCCTGATTTAAATTGTTTGCCAGGATGTAAACCTCAGGTACTGATGTGTTACAGGATCCAAAACCTTATCCAACTACAAACCTACTTTTATTTCTTTACTTACACCCTCAAACTAACTTATAGTATAGATACATCAAGGCAGTTCTCAGGGGGAAAACCACTAAAATCATAACATATGGGACTGGAGAGCTAGTTCAGCAGTTAAGAGCTCTTGTTCTTCTTGGAGAGAACCTGATTTCAGTTCCCAGCATGTGGTGGTTCACAAGAGTTGTAACTCGGGTTTCAGGGGATCCCATGCCCTCTTCTGACTTCCGCAGGCACCAGGCACACAAGTGGAACACATACACACACCTCACCAAACACATAAAATTAAATAAATAGATGTATAAAAAATAATATGTGGGGCCAGGCAGGGGTGGCACACGCCTTTAATCCTATCACTCCGGCGGAAGAAGCAGGTGAATCTCTGTGACCAGGGCAGAAAGAGATGCTGAATTTTAAAGAATAAACAGTGAACTGGTTTAACTGAAAAATTACACACACACGCCCAGAGAAGAGGCATCTCGAAAATATTCTGTATAGTTCCAGAATCCACTCCCATTTTCTTGATGTATGCCAGTCTCACACACGTTCCTTCTGGAAAGTAATCGAGGAATAAGTTAGCTTTATTGTATGTCTACAACCATGAACAAAAGAAAAATGAGGAAGTAGGTTGGGAATTTAACCAAACTTAATCAGGCAATACTTGGCCCATAGTTCTTTTTAGAATCTTCAACAGCTATAGTTGGGCATTATATACATCCACCACATCCACCCCCCCCGTGTGTGTGTGTGTGTGTGTGTGTGTGTGTGTGTGTGTGTGTGTGTGTATTAATATGACATAGTTTTCTATGTGGAGATATTTTGCATCCTAATGATAATGTTTTTTCAAAGGCAAAGTTTTATAAAAAGATGCATATTGTTTGATTCATCAGTACATTTACTAACACAGTTATTGTTTAATGATGCTCACCAAGTAGTGAGTAGTGGGTATTAGGTCATGCAGTCTAGTAAAATGAATAGGTAAAATCAGCATATGAGTGTATGTAGTTCAGAAAGATATGTGTAATGAATGAACAATAAATTGATAATGAATAAACTGATAAAGATGAGTTGAAAAGTAGTCAATGGAAATGACAAGAAATGATCATACATGTAGACAAATATCTACCACAAATTTGCAAAATCTAGGCATGCATGCCTAGAATCCCAGCACAAGGCCAGCCTCCATTACACAGTGGGTTAGAAGCCAAACTGGGTTACACAATAACCAAACAAGAAATAGGTTTAAGCTGTTAACACCTTTTAAAATGTTAAACATACAACAGTTGGCTGATATATTAAGTGTTTGAGTCTTCAGTAAAACTGAATATTAATAAGGTTGTGGGAGAGGGAAAAAGTAATATAGAAATCTGAATGGTGGAAGAGTAGCCAAGACAAACTAAATATATAAGCTTAGTCTTATATGTAACAGGAGAGTGGGGGAGGGGGGAGGCTTTGTTTCATCCCAGTGCCTGGCTAGCTTCTGTGTGAAATAATCACACAAAAATTGTATTAATTAAATTACTGCCTGGCCCATTATCTCCAGCCCCTTATTGACTAACTCTAAATATTAGTTGAACCCATCTCCATTAATGTGTATTGCCACTTGACTGTGGCTTACCGACATGAGTTTAACCAGTGTCCGTCTTGGCAGAGAACCATGGCATCTGCCTGTCTCTGCTTTCTTCCTCCCAGAATTGTGTACTGTCTTCCCTGCCTACCTGAGTTCCGTCCTATCAACTAGGCCAAGGCAGTTTCTTTAATAACCAATGAAAGCAACACAAATACAGAATGACCTCCTACACCATTTCCCCTTTTCTGTCTAAACAAAAGGAAGGCTTTAACACAGTAAAATTATATATAACAAAACAGTTATCAAGCAAGAATTACAGTTACAATATTTAGATCTATTTTATCTTTTATTATAACAAAGAAAAACTCTAACTATCTATCTATTCTTCAACTCCATCAAAGACTCCAGAAGGATATAATATTGCCTAAGTAAACAAGAAATAAGCAACTTCCAAAACTCTAGAAATGACAGAGACATCTCGCTGCCTGTACAGTCACCCAAAGTTCTTCTGTACTGTTGGGGCATCCATCTTCAGCCTACAGGTCCATAGTATCCAGCAGACATTTCCATGAAGCAGGAAATTTTAAACACAGTGTCCTGCAGAATGTCTCGCAAACTCTTTCATGAAGCAGGAACCCCAAAGGACCATCTCACCTTTAGGCAAGTTCAGCAGTCATCTCTCTGTGGTACTGCATGTCCAGTTTATGCATCAGTCCAGGCAAGAGCAGTTTCTTACCCTAATGGCTTTTAAACTCCATAAAGAGCCTCTTCGATGCCCATCTTCCTCTTGAAGTAGCTGGTGCTGCCACGAGCAGATGTGTCTCATTGTTATGAAAAGCCCTAAGTTATTAAAACACCTTAAATGCCATATTCTGTAGTCTTTGAAAGATACAATGCCTATCTAAATGAAATATACCTCTATATTTCTAGAAAATCTAACATGACTACAAACTTGACTATTATAGATGATTATCCATTAACAACCTATATTTCCTAATTATACATTATATTTTTTAAATGAGTTACAAAATCACAATACCATAATCGAGAGCAGAAATACATATACATATAACAAAATAGACCTTAAACTTGTATCAATAAATCAAGATTTATACCAATGCAAATTATTCATATCTATATCATATCCTCCTTTAAATGTAAAAGAATACTTATAAGCAATATTTGGGAATATGGGCTAGTTATTTCTCTCCACAACCCCTCAGTCAGCACATTGCTGACCACTCAGGCCATGACCTGGCAGGGCCTCTGGTTCCACAGCCCAGCTCTGCCACTTCCACATAGATTTGAATTAAGTATCGCTATCATTCTGTTAGCCAGTGGGATTCAGAAGTCAAAGACTGGGGTGAAAACCTGCAAGCACACAGAGGCTGAGTAGCAACTAGCTGACCTTGCTTTTTGGCCAGAAACACTGCCAGAGACCAGTCCCTTCCCTCCTTTCAGAACCAAGAGGAAGCTCAAACTCCAGTCCACACCCTTCCTTCCTGTGTGTCTCTTTTATCCAAGTTGCTGGCTTCTCTATGGCCTATTCCAGCCGACTAGTCACTGACTCTGCTCACAGATTCAAGGCATAACTTTATTGGGCAGAACTGGGAGTGTCCGAGGGCAATCAAATATTGCACAACATTAGCCTGAGCTCAAAAACCAATTCCACAGACAACTTGGTCCTTCCAACTAACAGGGACATGTGTCTGACCTTGAACCTTAGGGTATGACTCCGGGACTTCTCACACCGCTGCATTCAGCTGCTTCTCCATGCTGAACACACTCAGACACAGGCTGCCATTGGCAGAGGGGAAAACAGTGAGATTCAGAGACAGCTGGGGTACAGCACCCAACTGTGTATAGGTGACTGATTAATAATAAGAACTTTAAACATTATTTCACATTGATCTTATGCTCTGAGCAAAGCGTGAAATACTTCCACACACACATCTAACTTTTGACTCTGGATTTTCTTTCTGGTTATGATTTTATTAATTAGCAGAAAGGACGTTTTCAAGGATTCAAGTTTCAAGATAACTTCTACTAAAATATGACAAAATTTAAAGTGCTAATTCTAAAAGTGGAACTATTAGACTCACAAAACTGACAAATAGGATTAAGTATTTTGAATGGTATGTAGCATGAATTGAAAAGCTATGGAGGCTGAATTTTAGTATCTCGTGACTAGCAGAGTCACCTGAGGACGAAAGTCACCAGATATAGAAAGTGCACCTCAGCTAGGCAGAACTGAGAGACAGCTGGAGCTACATTTTAGAAATGTTGTATGAATATTTAGGTACCAGGAACCTTTGGGGATTCATGCTGTCTCTTTGTATGATGTGTTTATTATCTAAAATCAGTGGGCTGTGCCTAACATTGTGGGGAAAGACCCCATGAATCCGAAGAGTGCTGATTTTTCATGTCTTTGTTCCACCAGTTTCTTCTGCCAAAAGACAGATCAAAAATACAGGAAGGTGCACAGTCTGAGAGGTGGCGGCAGAGCCTGGGAGCATAGTCTGTTTTGTTGCTTAAATTTTATTGTATTCATTCTCTCTCTCTCTCTCTCTCTCTCTCTCTCTCTCTCTCTCTCTATATATATATATATATATATATATATATATATATATATCCCTCTCTCTCAAGCAAATAGGCAAATAGAAACAAACAAGAAAAAACAAAACCAATCAAGCAAACAACAATAGCAACAAAATAGTACAATAATCACAATTCTTAATAAGAGCAGAGCGCATTTTCTCTTCCAATGGAAGCTCCATCATGATCCCACAAGTCGTGACCAATGAGATTGTCACAGTGATTTTACCAAATGGAGTTTACTTTTTCCAAACAGACAAACCCCAGCCTACCCACAAGCTGCAAGGCAACCTGAAGAAACATCTAAAGGCAGAGATGAAAGTGATTGTGGTAAATCAAACTCAGAACGCTCTGGAGTGGATGGAGGGCACAGAAGGAAACACTGTGTCTTAGGTCTAGAAATAGATCTGGGGTGTGGACAGCCTTCAGCTTTGAGAAAGTGATCATAGAGTAGTCTGTAGACCAGTAGAAAACCCTTGGCAAGCTGTTTATATCTCTAAGACATTCCACAAATTAACAAGTATTTCCCCTTATTGCAAATAGGAGTCATTGAGATTTTGTTGTTTGATTATTTACTTTTTCCATTTTTAGATTGTGTGTGCTAGTATTTTGTTTCTGAAAATATTGTAGGTACATTCTTGATGCTTAGTATAAAACACCTTTCTCTTCTTTAGGGAAAAGAGATAGCACAAAAAGACTACTGTGTGCTCATCCCAGATTTACAAAGAGGATGTTTGCGGGGTAAAGAGGGGGTATAAGAAAGAACATACTTTATGCTGTGAGGTAAGGTAAGGCTGTCTGATCTGTGTTGGTTGTACTAACACCATCTGCGTGGACCTCTGAGTTACCCAGTTTCAGAATTTAAAGAAACTGTTGGCCTTGCCTTGGACATACCATCATCTGGATTCCTTTGAAGTACATGTAACAAAAAATTTAAAAATTGTTTGACCAAACATACAAGAACTGTGAGTCTGTGAGGTGAAGGAGGTCAGGAAGACAAAAGTGTCCTTCTCCTACAGAGACTGGGGATCCCTAGAATGGACACCTGGACTGAAGAGTCTGTGGAGCTGGGCAGAGAGCCTGGCTCAGTGTGGTGTTCTGTGGGTGCGGGGTGATGTGGCACCCAGAGTTTTCCATTAGAATGTGCTCAGAGTGG